ACTGGGATTTTTCGCACCAGGCTATGCCGCAAGAAGTGTGAAAAAAACAAATTTTGTTCTTTTGTTTAGTTCGCGCTCTTTCTAAGGTATATCATAATTGAAATCTGCAAAAACGCAAAACGCTTTGTTTAGCTGTAGAAAAATTTCAAATTGTTTATCTGTACTTCAAATGAAACAATGATTATAATTAGTTGCAAAAAAAACTGAAGATAACCAGAACAATAAGATAGCGAATATGACTATCACAGTTGTTGAATACCTTCAAACAAAACTGTCAAAAAAATGTTTGCAATGATCTTTAGAAAATTTGGTGAAAAAAGACTGTCATGTTCTAAAATGACAAGATCAATGCAGCAAGCGACTTCCCAGTGAAATTATCCTTTTGATTGCCGTACAGGCAGTCAATTTCCTTATCCCTGCAAAGTCCATATATCTGATTAACAGATACCCATATTTGAGAGTATAATGTTATTAAATTCCAAAAAAGACTATTTTGCTTTAGGACAATAAATAAATTTTTTACTAAACCTCATCACCAGTAAATTACAAAGTTTGATAATTCCCAAATAAAAAAAAAAAGAATCAAAAACTTGAGATATGCTGCAAGTTGACAGACAGTGGGTTACAGTAGTGGAAGAAAAAAAGAGATATTTCCTCCTCCTTCCAACTGCTTTCCACACGTCTGCCACATCTCATCGTCTAAATTACTCAATAATTAGATGAAATTTGAATTCGATAAGGAAAAAAATTCTTTCCATTTTAAAAAAGCTAATTAAATCTTTTTTTTTTTTTTTTTGCATAGACATATCTGAATATTATGAATTCGTTATACAGACCGTCACTGTAAGCAACACTGATGTGCAACAATCGATTTGTCTCTGTATTTTAGAGCAAAATATCAGTTTAGTTTTTACTAGAGTTTCTAGTAAGTTAAACAGCTATAAAATTCTGCTTCGCCTTCTTTTTTTTATCTGAAGTTTTACAGCATTTTCCAACGACACGTATCAGTTAACTGCAAAGTTGGCGAAAGAAAACGCTGAAAGAAGTCCCACTTTTCCAATAATCCAGTACTAATACTAACCGTCCAGTTGTTTCGATGACCAGCGACGACCTCTTTTTTGAGGCAGTCAATGATTATAAAAAAATGAGAGCACGATTTGATCAACGACAGGAATTGAGAGGTGAATATGAACTGCTAATAAATTTTGATCAGCATACATATCACATCTTTGGCTTATATCAACAAGCTACAGTCGGCGACATCAATGTTCCAAGTTAGTGATTTGCTGTGTAAAAGTTGCTCTCTCAGTAAGTTCTTAGAAAATGGAAACTTATTGCATTCATTTCGGTCAATCATTTAGCATTGCCATAAGCTAAAAATTGTAAAATAATTTGCAAAGATTTTTTTCTGTAATAAATTTTTATATAATCCTCAGGACATATATTAACCTTCGGAACTGTTAAATAAACTCCCCAAAATTCAGTTTTCAAACTTTTTCACTGTTATAAGAATCAGTTCCCGAAGTAGTTGAAAAACTGACTACATTCAGGCAGTAGATCAACTTTAAAATTAATTTTTTTTTTTTTTTTTTTTTTTTTTTTTTTT